GTTCAGAGGGACTAAAAACAATAACTTCGGTTTTATCTGGGTTCAAGAACAGAACGTTTTTAGAAAGCCATGATTTGACATCAGCAAGACAAGCAGTAAGAGTATCAATGGTAAAATTTGTTTTCTTAGTCAAAGGCAAGTAAATTTGTAGAACATCGGCGTAACAGTGAAGAGACGTTGTGTTTTCTAAAAATAGAGCCCAGAGGAAGAAGATAAAGAGAGAAGAGAGTGGGAGATAAGATAGAACCCTGAGGAACTCCACAAGTTAGGTTGCCTATGGGGTCGAGCGAAGACTTCCAGTTTTTACCACAAATCTCCTGTTTGTTAAGAATGATTTAAACCAGTTTAAACCCCCCTCCCCCCCAGTCCCACATGAGACGTCAAACGAGAAATAAGAATCTCGTGATCGACAGTGTCGAAGGCAGATGACAAGTCCAACATCACTAAAATAGCAGAAGAGTCAGTAGTCATTAAAATATCATTAAAAATTCTTACAAGAGTAGTTTTAGTGCTGTGGAGTACAATTTTTTACATTACTTTTGAGATAAATGGTAAGGTGGAAATTGGTCGATAGTTTTCTAAAACAGAGGCGTCAAGAGAGGGCTTCTTGAGAACATGGGTAACCATGGCCATTTTCAGGTCGTCCGGAATGGACCCGGCTTTCAAACAATTATTCAACAGTGATACCAGCCCCGGACCCACGGTATCAATAATTTGCCTCAAAAAGCGAGGGTGAATTATATCAAGGGGACAGAAAGAGGGTTTTAATTTTGTGATCACCTCCTTGACTATTTGTAAAGATACAGGGTTAAATGTTGTCCAAGGTGTTGGATTTGTAGGTGGCAACTCAACGTAATCCGTTACCTGTATCTGGGCCCTCAAATTTGTAACTTTGTCACAGAAGTATCTCAGGAAGTCCTCAGAAAGTGCAAAGGAAGGATTTTGAAAATAATTAGTAGGAGGATTTAGAGCACAGTTAATAACAGAGAAAAGTATTTTAGGAGTACAGTGATGCTTTTCAATAAGATTTGAAAAATAAGAGGCCTTGGCTTTCTTAACAGCTCTCTGATATAAGTACAAACAATTCTTCAGGATATCAAAAGAGATTTGCAATTTGTCTTTTTTCCATTTTCTTTCCACTTTTCTGCAGGATTGTCTCAGGGAGCGAATGTTATTATCAATCCAAAGTTCTGATTTGGGTTTTAGTTTAAAATGCTTAAAAGGTGCAATGGAATTTAATACGTCCGTCCAGACTGTATTTAAAGAATTGAAATGATGTTCAGCATCAAGATCAGAGAATGACGACTCAACCGACAGGGAAGAGTTATCTTTATTGTAAAGCTCAGTGAAATCCTTACAAAAATGTGACGAGTATACTCGAGTTTGTCTTATATCAGAGGCTGTTATCTGGGGAATCTCAGGAAGACACATCTTAAATACAATGGGAAAGTGGTCAGATATGGGGGATTCAATCACTTCAATGTCCATTATAGACAGACCAAAAGTCAATATTAAGTCCAAAGTGTGTCCTAGTAGACGTGTAGGATGACTAACCCATTGCAGCAAATTAAAATAGTCAATGGTGTTCAGGAATTCTGAGGATAACTGTTTAGAGGAGCAACACACATGGACATTGAAGTCACCAACTAAAATAAATCAGTCATGTTTAGTAACCAGGTCCCCTATGAATTCAGAAAATTAAAATAAAACCATTTACTAAGTGAGGTGGCAGATATATCAAATCTAGGACTATTGGTTCAGACCAGTCAAGCAATAATAGCTGAGATTCAAAACTTGTATATGTGGCAGAGGATAATAGACGACAACGTGATTTAAAGGTTTTCCTTGTGATAACAGCCAATCCTCCTCCCCTACCAGTAGGTCTGGGAGCATCATAAAAACAGTAATCTGCTGGAACAAGTTCAGAATAGGGGTTTTACTCACGGATCGAAGATTAGCAGGGTTTACTCCCACCGCGCAAGGCCGAAGGCTAATCCGAGGATGTAGATCCAGGGGAGGATGACTTGGAGAATCCAGAAGGGCCTGAGGGCTGTTGTCTGTTGTAGACATTGCCATCCATCAAGCAGGTAACATTATTATTGCTAACATAATGGACTCATCGAAAAATATATTGGCATCATCTGTATTAAAGAGAAATTAATCACTTCATCCGATGTTTAAGTTAATAAAATAGCCTTGACAGTCGAGTTCCACAACTATTGACTTTGTTCTCGCTCACCGATGTGTGTGTGTGTGTGTGTGTGAGCGTGTGTGTAGGTGATGCAGGGTTGCCCATTTGCTACTCAAAACTAGCCCAATTGCGTTTCGAGGGGGGTTCCCCGGTAAAAATCACGTTCTGGGGGGTAAAATACAAGTTTTTCGGCGGGGTCCCTTCGGTAAAATTTGCATGCATATCACGTTATTGGGGTCGCTTCAACCCACGGCAACAGCGTTAAAGTATCCCAGTTTCGCTGGAAAACCACGGACTCTGCAACTGAGGTGATGTAAAAGAGGAAAGCAGGCATTTGGACCTGTGATGCAAGGGAGGGGAAGACTACAAATATTTCTAAACTTAAAACCCTTTTGTGTTGTTTTACTACTTACACAATTATTTAAAGTATAAAACATTGTTATTTACAATACACAGCGTGGTTTTTAATCAAATTTTTAGGGGCTACAACCCTCAGATAGGGGGGTCCTGTCCCCCCGACCCCCCCAGAATTTCCGCCTATGAGAACTGGGGTGACTGCAGTTTAGATATTTAAACAATAAATACCATTTTGTGGCTCTTTAATGTGTCGTGACAGATAGCGCAACAGTTAAAGCGGCACATGAACGGATCATCTTTTTATATAAAGCACGAAATAAACATGAATGAACATCAGAAGGTATTTTAATTTCAACCACGGAAAGACGTCAGTACATACAATTTCAAGTTTAAGTCCACCGACGTTAATCTACTACTTTCCTGTCTGATTTGTTTGTCTGAGAAATTAGCGGATTCTGCGTTATGATTGGTAGGGATATAACGATTAACCGCGAGACGGTTGAAAATCGATTTAAATATGACTATTCAAATTGGTTGAGATGCTAAACAAATCGCGATTCAATTAGGGGTAGGAGTTTATATGAATGTATGTCTGAGGGGAACTTACTGTCTTTCGATGGTATTTTTTCTTTTCCTCTTGCCTCTGTATAATGCATATTAAAGTTCATAAGTGCAGCGCTGCTTTGTTTACATCGGAAACCAAAGAAATGCTTTAAGCGCCACCTGCTGGCAGAGAGTGAATCTGCGTCTCATTCTGTTCGTCTGCTGTTTCTGTTTCATGCAGAATCAGATATTTTTTATGCATAGTTTCACAAAACTGAAGTCAAACCATTCTGTTTT